CTGGAGGCGCGGGATGGTCGAGGCGGCGCTCTCGTTGCCCTCGAGGTTGAGGTAGGAGAGCTGGCGCATCTTGACCACCTCCTCGGCGGCGAACCCGTCGGCGGCGAGGTGGTTGTTGCCCAGGCTCAGCTTCTTGAGCTTGGTGAGCGACTGCATGATCTCGGCGGGCACCTCGACGAGCTCGTTGCGGTCCAGCAGCAGGTTGGTGAGCTTGCCCAGCGCGGCGATGGCGACCGGCAGGCTGTGCTTGAGCCGGTTGCCGCAGGCCGACAGGTGCGTGAGGTTGACCAACTCGCTGATGCTGCGCGGCAGCGACGTGAGCTCGTTTTCGTCCACCACGAGCGACTTGAGCATGGTGAGGGCCGCCACCTCGGGCGGCAGGGCGATGAGGCGGTTGCCGCTGAGGTCGAGCTCGGTGAGGTACTTCATCTGCACGACGAGCGCCGACGGCACGGTGGTGATGTAGTTGTCGGCCAGGCAGAGCTTGCGCAGCTGCGTGAGCTTGGCCAGCTCCTGCGAGAAGGAGTCCAGGTAGTTGTTGCTCAGGTCCATCTCCTTGGCCACGCTCACGAGCTTGTTGATCGACTTGGGCACCACGTGCAGCCCGATCGCCGAGAAGCTCGAATCGACGCCGCCGCCGAGCGGCGCAAAGTACTGCACCTCGGACTTGGCCGAGATGGCGTCCACGGCCTGGCGCAGCGCGTCCTGGCACGCCCACCGCAGGAAGTACCCGTTCCACAGGCACACCTCCGCCAGGCGCGGCACGATGGCCTCGCCACGTGCATCCTCCGCCCCCGCATCCCCTGAAAAGAGAGAGAAGAGAGAGAGATTAGCGCGGAGGGTCAACAATGGAGCCGAGCGTGGGCTTTTGGTTTACCTCGTTTGCTCGGAGGGTTCTTGGACTGGGTGAGCGGCTTGGCCTGGGAAGCGTAGTAGGAGTTGGTGAACTGCTCCTTGTTCACGTTGGTGAACGACCACAGAGACACGGCCTGCGCGAGGACACAACAACAACCAATAACAACCAACAACGTCAGTACGAGAACGATGAGTGAGCGGAACGAGGAGAATGCGTGCCTTGTCCTTGATCTTCTCCTCCTCTCGCTCCCGGGCGTTCTCGACGAGGAAGGTGCCGAAGCGAGAATCGTAGACGCTGTCGATGACGAACAGCAGGAAGTCCTCGTTGAACTCGAAGGACTGCGGGCTGCTGTTCCACAGTTGCCAGACGCTGCAGGTGGTGAACAAGGAGAGGGAAGGGGGGGGGTGTTGAAAAGCAACAGACAACACACGACACGCCGAGTGCGCGCCAACGTACCAGTCCATGAACTGCAGGAAGGTGGCGCAGAGGGGATCAGTGGGCTTCTTCTGCTTCTGGAACTTCTGGCCGTACTTGTAGCCGTAGGCCATCCACTCCTTCTCCACCAGGACGGCGAAGCCGGTGATGGTGCGGTAGAAGGGGTCGCTGCACAGCTGGACGAGCGAGAGCAGCGAGTAGAGGCCCTCGTGCACGCCCGAATCGTCATCGTCTTCCTCTTCCTCGGCCTCCTCCTCGGCCTTCTTCTTGGTGGTCAGCTCGGTGGAGCCCGACGACGAGGGGGTCGCGGCGACCACCGCGCTCGTGGAGCCCGAAGCCTGCGAGACGCCGCTGGACGACGGGTTGTGGAGCCGCTTGAGCACCACCGAGTGGCCGGCGGCGAGGAGCCGGAGCACGACGGCCGAGGCCTTGAGCGTGTGGCGGATCTGCTGCAGCCAGTTGGAGTTCTGCAGCTGGTCCATCCACTCCCCGTCCTTCTGCGGACCCTGCGAGGCGGTGCCATCGCGCAGCGAATCGACGTCGGCAGTGGCGAACTGGGCCGTGTGTGGGTCGAACACTGTCGTGTGTTTTCATTGGCATGCCGAGGTGAGCACCACAGACGCGAGCAGCTTTCATTGGGAGGGGAAGGGGCACGAGGAGGCGGTTACCTTTGACGTTGATCTCGCCCGAGGCCTTGGAGCGGTAGCGCATGACCTTGTCGCCGAGCGAGTGGAAGGTGCAGATGCCGTCTCGGAGCTCGAGCAGGCTCTTCCTGACGGCGGAGAGCTGCGGCAGGCCCAGGGTACCCTCCGTGATGCCCTCTTTTTTGTCCATCGTCTCGGGGATGAAGTAGTCGAAGCACTCCTCGCCCTCCGTGACGTCCTCCCGCACCGACGACATCGAGGCGCTGCTGTCGCCGCCGCTGTCGCTGTCGTCCGCGTCGAGCCACTCCACTCGTGGCCGCCTCACGCGCTCCTGCGTATGTTCGGCACCCAATCGAAACTCGTTTCGTGAGCAAACGTGCCGATTGTGTCGATTGGTGGATAGAATGAAGAGGGCGCAACCAACCTTGTCTGTGACCTTGGCCTTCTTCAGCTGGAGGAGGAAGGGAGAACCGGCGGTGTCGAGCAGGTACACCTTCTTCTTGGCCTTGGCCGAGCCGAGGGAGTTGAGCAGGCACTGCAGCTGCCCGGCCTCCTCGATCTCGCCGTCGGTCTCGTCCTTCTTGGGCTTGCCCTTGCCCTTGGCCGATTGCACGGTGTCCAGGCGCACGAGGAAGCCCTTGCTGCCCGGGTGCATCCAGCTCAGCGTGAGCAGGGAGTTCTTGAGCTTCTTCTTCAAGTCCGAGTCCTTCACCGTCTTGACGAGGTCGGCGGGGACGACGAAGGAGCCCGAAAGATTCTCGTTGAGTTTGTAGTCGCTGTTGGCCGGCGTGATGCTCCACACTTTGTCCGACACCTAGGGCGACACGCAATGAGGCAATGAATTAAAGAAGAAATGAGGTGCCCCCATGCCTACAAAATCACTTACACGGTGGCAATTCACTCCGCCGACAACCAATGACACTCACTATTTCAAAAAAGATGAAAATGAGTGCATTTGGGCAAATGTACGGTACCTTCTGTCGGTTGTAGAATTCCTCCTGCATGTTGTACACGAACCAGCCGTCGAGGTAGGTCGGAAGATTCTTAAATCGGACCTCCAAACTCTTGTAGCAGAAGAGATCGGTCATTTTCTTCGGTATGGTCTTCTTCAGCACCTTAAGCGTGGGTTTGAAGCTGTTCTCCTTCGTGAAGAGAACCACCATCGTTCGGAAATCTTTGCACACCATGAGTACGCCTCCATAAGGGTTCGTCGTTGTGTGCTTGAGCTCCTCGATTTGTAGAATGCAGGTGAGGGGAACGGAGATGGCGTTCTGCACCGGGCAACCAGGCAACGACTGGTTAATGCGAGGGCAGAAAATGCTGTCAAGATAGGAAGGGGGGGGGCACCTGGGAGTCGTTTTTGCCGCAGAAGAGGAGGCGGTAGTTGGTGATCCACATTCGGCAGTGTCCCTTGCTCTCTTTCTTGATCGAGGAGCCGATGAGGAACTGGTAGGTCACCTTCTCTCCATTTTGTACAACCAACTTCTCTCCACCGAGGAAGAGCTGCAGCTCCTTCTGCACAGAGGAATACTGCATGGCTACCGATTTGACTAATCAGAGCCGAGAGTCGCAAGCGATTGGCAGCTGTCCCTACAGAAAAATGATGTGAGAACGAGACAAGCCAAGATCGTGATCTAAAAAGAGTGCCAAAAGAATCAAACATAAAAATAACAGAAGCTCAAAAGAAGGAAATGCCACGCCGAATCGGCGTAAATGATGATGATGCTGATGCTGTCGATGAGCTCGTTCGTACCTTCTTCTCACCGCGCAACGTGCTCACGCGCACAACGGGACAGGATGAGAAACGAAAACAAAGGGAGACGGCGACTGCGTCGTGGTCGTTAGGTTGGTTTGACGAAAGGTGAGGCCGGGTGGGCGTAACACCAGCGAACTGCCGGAGTTGGCATCCCCAACAACCAAGCCCTCAAAGACAACCATCGCTCCGCTAACCTCACTGCGGTGGTTCGGCAACAGCTTCACGAAGACACCGACCTCGCACCAGAAGGGACGAACGCGGCGACACAAGGGGTCTCTTCAGGACGGACTGGGCTGCAGGTGTCAAGCAAGCATTAACTTTCCCTTTGTCGACGCCCACCTTGATAAAATAGACGAATTTCTTACGACGATAAACATCTTGTGCTTCGACACTGCACCGAAGAACCACACGCCGCGTTTGTTGTGTTCGGGAAGCTTCACATACTGGCTTCTTCCCATTACCTCGGAATTATTTCGAAGAATCAAAAAGTACGGCATTTATAACGGCAACAAGGCGGTTTGCGGCATTTCGCGCTCGTGACTGTTTTGGCGGCAACACCACCATCACGCGTAGTACTCTCCAACGCATCAACTTCGCCCACAAAAACAACACACACAACCTACCAGTATTGAAGAACACAACCAACCATGAACACGAAGAGGATTATCGACGAGGAAGCCCTCCAGCTGGCCAAGAAGAAGCCGCGAACGCCCGAGCCGCTGCTCGAGGAGAACCCCAACCGATTCGTGCTGTTCCCCATCCGCTACCAGCGCATCTGGGAGATGTACAAGAAGGCCGAGGCCTCCTTCTGGACGGCCGAGGAAGTCGATCTGAGCTCCGACATGAAGCACTGGGAATCGCTCAGCAACGACGAGAGGCACTTCATCAAGCACGTCCTGGCCTTCTTCGCCGCCAGCGACGGCATCGTGGCCGAGAATCTCGCCGGCCGCTTCATGAAGGAGGTGCAGGTGCCCGAGGCGCGCTGCTTCTACGGCTTCCAAATCGCCATCGAGAACATCCACTCCGAGATGTACTCGCTCCTCATCGACACCTACGTCAAGGACCCCATCGAGAAGGACCACCTCTTCCGCGCCATCGAGACCGTGCCCTCGGTCAAGAAGAAGGCCGATTGGGCCATGAAGTGGATCAACAAGGAGGGTGTCGAGACCTTCGCCGAGCGCCTCATTGGATTCGCCGCCGTCGAGGGCATCTTCTTCTCCGGCAGCTTCTGCTCCATCTTCTGGCTCAAGAAGCGCGGCCTCATGCCCGGCCTCGCCTTCAGTAACGAGATGATCAGCCGCGATGAGGGCCTCCACTGCGACTTCGCCTGCCTCCTCTACACCATGCTCGTAAACAAGCCCTCGACCGACGTGCCCAAGCAGATCATCCTCGAGGCCGTCGAGATTGAGAAGGAATTCGTGACCGAGTCGCTGCCCGTGGCCCTCATCGGCATGAACGCCGACCTCATGTGCCAGTACATCGAGTTCGTGGCCGACCGCCTCCTCGCCGCCCTCGGCTGCGAGAAGCACTACAACCAGACCAACCCGTTCCCGTGGATGGAGCTTATCTCCCTCGAGGGCAAGACCAACTTCTTCGAACGCCGCGTCGGCGAGTATGCCAAGGCCGGCGTCTCGTCCAAGCAGGAGAACAGCCGCGTCTTCACCACCTCGGAGGATTTCTAAGCGAGAAGGGGGAAGCGAGAGATAGAGCGAGAGCGAGGAGAGCAGAACGGAGGAGACTGGCCTGGGTCATAAGAGACGGGTGGGTGTTGGCTTTGCGCTTCTGCTGCTGCTACTACAACAGTGTACATAAAAGAAAACATGTTTCGATCACTCGAACGTCGCGTGCCTGCGTTCTGTTGTCACGTCTCTGGCGGGAAAAGTGGTCTCAATAAATAAATATAACAGAACAGAAATATTTGGTACACGCCCTGGAGTGACGACAGACCGCCTCCGTTAGGAGTTGTCGTCGTCCCACCAGGTCTTCTCGCTGGCCTTCTTCTTGCTCTTCTTCTTGGTCTCCATCTCGACGTCCTCCTCCCCACCAAACGCGACAGCGCTCTCCCGATTGACCCTGTCGCGGCGCCGGTAGCGCGTTACCACGAGCGCCACCACAATCACGACGATCACGACGAGCACCGCGGCGCCCAGCAGTCCGCCCACCAGCCCGCCGATGAGTCCGCCGTCGATGCCGCCCGACGAGCCGCCGCTGCCGCCATCGTCCGGCGATCGGCCGAAGAGCACGCCCAGGCTCGGGTCGTACACGAGGCTCGACTGGAATGTCGGGAATCCGAGCATCACTGACACGCGCGTGGTCGTCGCGGACGTCGCCGCGTAGGTGACGCTGATGTCGACCTGCGCCGGCTGGTCGTCGGCGCCGTCGACGATTGCGATGCCGAGCAGCTGCAGCTCGTAGCGCACGCCCAGCGAGGCGGCGTAGAACACGTACGTGTTGACCCGCGCCGCGGGCGTGTCGAGCCGCTCGGTCACATCTGTGATGGGCGCGTCGATGTCGAGCGTGAAGGGCAGCCCGAACCCGCCGACGGCCGTCGCGGGGGCGGCAAAGGGCCAGCCGCCGGTGATGTTAACGCTGTACTTGACGGTGCCCTTGGCGTTGGTCAGCGTGACGCCGGCGAACGACGTCTGGCCCGACCCGTTGACAAAGTAGACGTACTCGAGCCCGAGCTGGGCCGCGCCGCTGCCCAGGCCGGCCCGGAGCTGGGTCACCTCGCGACCGTCGGCGGTGGCGAACGCGTTCTGCTGGGTGAAGCCGCCGCCGGGGAAGGCGAGCGAGCCGACGGCCGACCCATTGGGCGCCCGGAGCACCAGGTCGCCGAAGGCGTTGGTCACCGCCGTCGCCGGCGCCGCGGCGCCCGGGGCGAAGAGCTGCAGCTCGGCGGCGCCGGTCTGGTTGTTGACCTCCAGCTGCGTCCGCGGCACTGGCGACGTCGAGGGCGAAACGGAGGGCGTCGGCGACGCGGAGAGCGTAACGGAGGGCGTCGGCGACGTGGAGGGCATGGCGGAGGGCGTCGGCGGGACCGAGGGCGTGGTCGGCAGGAATGTGACCGACGGGGTGGGCAAGAGCGACAGGCCTGGCGAAGAGCTGGACCAGGGCGACTGAGCCGGCGTGGGCGAGGGGATCGGAGTGGCGGTGGACGAGGGCAGGGGAGAGGCAGTGGCACTGGTCGAGGGCACGACAGTAGGCGAGCCCGGCAGGGTCGGGGCGGCGGTGGTGGTTGCGCTCGAGATCGGCGTGGGCGACGTCGAGTTGACTGGGGTTGGCGAGGCCGGCGCGGAAATGAACGCCGTGGGCGAAGGGGAGTTCGAGGGCGCCGTGGTGGTGGTCGTGATCGGCGAAGCGGAGGGGGACTCCAGAGGCGTGATAGTTTCGGCGGCGATGGTCGTGAGCGGCACACTAGCCCGCGCCGCATAGGGCCTATGCGGGGAGTAGCGGGGGAGGAGGTCGCGTTGGTGGTGGTTGGCCCGCGGGGCCTGGGTCTGGGCCTCCGCCTCGTCCCAGAACTCGGCAAGATCGGAGCGGCCGGGAGGCTGCGTACCCGCAGGGGGGAGGAGCAGCGAGGGCGGTCGTGGGGCCGATGGCGTGGCGGAGTTGAGGCTGGCGGGGCCGGAAGCGCAGAAGAAGAAGAAGAAGAGGGCGAGCAGGGACACCAGGCAGAGCAACGCCAGGCGCAAGCTGGCGGCCGGTCGTCGATGTGCCGTCATTGCCGTAATGGTGCTCCTACTGCTCGTCGCTCTCAGCTGAGAGGCCTCTCTTCCTTCGTTCTCTCTTTCTCGCGGGAAAAACGATGCTCAACAGTTATTTGTTAACAAAAGAAAAAGAATAACAACTGAAGGCGGGCAGACGTGCACGCAGGGGTGGTGCAGCGGACGTGGCGATGAAGGAGGCGGGCGCTGCAGAGTTGACCAAAAGAAAAGAAAGGGGAAGACCAGGAGCATCTTAGCGTCGGTGCAGCTGCAGTTGTTGGTCTTTGCTGGTCACACCGCTTCTTGGGCCAATCGCGCACGTGTTGGAGTGCGCATTAATTAATTTGTCCACTTCTCATTGGCGTGTCGCGACGCACGGAATGCGGAGCATGAGGTCCGCGGGAAAGGGAACCTGAAATCTCGGCCCGACAAAGAAGTTAATAATTGTATATAAATAAATAAATAAATAAACAAACAGCGAAAGACGCAATGGAGAGTACATTCACATCCCTCCAGGCCCCCAAGGCCAGCCAGGTGATGTCGCCCGTTCTGGCTGCTCACGCCCCCCTCGTCGCCGCGGGTTCTGTGCCTCTCTGTCCGTCGTCTCGCCCTCGCCTTCTGTGGCTCGTACGCTTCTATGCCCCCCACGCACGCGCCCCATTTTTAATCTTTCTGCACATCATCATCTGTCTTTGTGTTTCGGGGCTGCACGCTCTATGTCGTGCACAATACTCCCACAATATATTCTACGTTCTGCTGGCGGGTGCTCGCGAGTAGTACGACAAAGTGCACCAGGACACCATGAAGGGCCTCATGGCCAAGGTCACCCCCGTCGCCGACATCGTGCCCGGTATATACCCCCCTCTCTCACACGACCGCGTAGTGAGCGGGTGCTGACACTTCTCGGCTGCTGCTACGGCCTCGTGTTTGTGTTTGTGTGCGTGCGCTGCGTTGGTGTGCTGTGTGCGGCGCGAAGTGGCGAGCGTGGAGGAGGCCGGCACTCTGCTGGACCTCAACACGGGCTTCCACTTCATCGTCAGTCCCGGTGGCCAGTGGCTGTACGTGTCCATCTTCCCACCCCCTCTCAAGCTTTGCCAGTGGCGAGCCGCTGAGCAAAGTCGTGTGTGTGTCGTGTGTCGTGTGTCGTATCCGCGGATGCAGGTACGGGACGGTAAGCCTGCGCGGCAAGCGCCCCAACGTGCCCGTGGTCGTCTTCGAAAACTGCGACGCCTTCTTGCAGCGCAAATGTACCGCAGCCCCCCACCCCACAATCCCTCGCTATCGTCCTCCTCCAACATACCACGCGCGCGTTGGCCGGACCATGACCATAACGGCTGCAGTTGTGGAGGCGGGCGCGGCGTTCGTTGCGCCGCACGTGGAAATTCTCAAGGACTACGTACTCAAACACACGCCCTGTACGTGGCACGCACACGCACACGCACCACCGCACACGATGGAAGGCCACCTGCTGACATGATTTGGGGGTAGCACCGGGTGACGACCTGCTTCCGCCGCCCTTCAGCCCGTATCGCGTGCAGCGAACGCCGAACTACGGCGAACTCCAGGTCGTGTGGCCCCAGATCGGCTCAGGTGCATCTTTCCCGCCACCATCGCCTCGTGTGTGTGTGTGTGTGTGTCGTGTGTGTGTCGTGTGTGTTGTGTCACATAGGCGAACGTTACCGCGTGCTCATGACTCAACGACCCGGGTGGGTGGGTGGGTGGGTGGCGGATGGGTGGTGCAGTGGTGTACAGCGAGGCCACGAAGGTCAAGTACACCATCACCGGCCGGCTCGGCGAGGGCGGCTACGCCCACGTCTTCCGATGCACCGACTTCTTCGGTCAGAGCTTCGTGATGAAAATCCTCAAGACGTGCTCGCCCCCCCCTCACAACACAACACGACGCACGCAAACGCACTACCGCACACGCACGCAACCTCCTCCCCCAACGGGGGTGCACAGGTGATGACCACTATCCGCGCGCGTGGTGGTGGTGGTGCGCAGGTTCAAGCCCAAGCACGAGACAGAGGCCGAGTGGCAGAAAGAGGCGCGGTTCCTCCTTTCCCTGCGCCATCCCAACATCATACAGATCTACGACATGTTCGAGCACTTAGGATTGTACTACTTGATCGTGGAGGAGTGCCACGGGTCGCTCCGGCAGCTCATGGAACAGACTGGAGCGCTCCCCGTCAACGACGTCATCGCCATCGCCGGCCAAATGCTCTCCGGTGCTCCTTACCACCCACCACAGTGGCATTCCTATATTCGTGCTCCTGGGCTAACCCTTCCACCTGGCTCATCGTATCTGGACAGGCCTGCACCACATCCACTCCCACTCGGTACGTGCCACCGCACGCAACGCGCGCCGAACGGTCGCTGCGAAGGGTGCAACGCTGATCAATCGAGAGTTCTCGGGTGACGCGCAGGTGATCCACCGCGACCTTCAGAACGACAACATTCTTTATGTGCGCAGCGAGTCGGGAGGGACCTCCCGTTATCAGATCAAGATCACCGACTTTGGTTCGACTGCCGCCACGACCCGGGATGAAGATTAAGCCTGGTGACGATGTGCTGATTGTTTGTTGTTTGTTATTTCTTCGTCTCCGTTGTTTTCGTTGTTGTTGTGCGGGCGTGGTGGGAATGTGATGGCACAGGGATCAGCAAGTTCAACGGCCAGGCGGGCGACAGCGGTCTGCCGGCCTACACCAACATCGGCCGCCCCTACGGTACCGCTACCGCCAAACGGCGCCCGTCGATCCGCGCCTCAACTCACCGTGCTCGTTTCGGTTCGTGTGCGTGCGTGCGTGTGCGTGTGCGATGGTGCGTGTGCGTGCGTGTGTGCGACAGATGTGGCGCCCGAGTTGATCGTGGCGGGCTATACGACCCACCAATCGGACATCTACCAGGTAACGAGGCATTCTCGCTCGACACTCTCTCGTCAAGAGGGCGAGGCGCGCCTCGGGAGCTGACTGACGCCTCTGCTGTGCCCTGCAGGTGGGGCTGGTGCTGTACTACCTCTACAGAGGCACGCCGGCGCTCGGACCCGAGGACGGACCCAGCAGCCAGGCCATCGCCACCGGCCTCGCCCGCCACAGGGCCGAGTCGCTCGGTAGAACGCCCCCCCTCTCGGAAGGGGAATTCCCAAAACGAGGCTGCAATGATGTGTTTACTCACATGAATGGTCAACGGTTAATGGAAACCAGGGACGCCATTGGGCGATTGCACAGCGCGGATGCTGAGGCGGCGTGCCGATTGGCGGTTCCGCGACTCGATGGAGGTGTGGACGGAGCTCAGCCGCGTGCAGCAGGATCATCAACGCCTCCCTCCTCCCGCCGGCCCCGCAGCAGCAGCACCCGCAAGTGGTGGAACAGCCGCGTTCCCTGGTGACGTCGCCGTTGCCGTTGCCCCGGTCGGCCGCCCCCAGCGACGACGACGACGAGATGGACGCCTCCCTCGCTTTGTCCGAAGCGTCGAATGGCGATCAGCAGCAGCTGAAGGCCGAGAACGACAAGTGTGGCGGCAGCGCCATCGACATCGAGGCCCAGTCGGGGGAGCAGCCACGGAGGCAGAGCAGGAGCGGGAGGCCAAGAAGGCCAGGCCCGAGTAGCCCGACGACACCGCCGCCTGAGTCTGAGCCAAGCACGCCCCCCCCCACTACATCGTTCGCCTGCACGCGCAGGCCCTCTTGTTGCCTTTTGACCCAACGTGTGGTGCCTGTTCGTGGCTGGAGTTTGGCCATTGGTTGTTGATAAAATATGACAAATCAACGCCGCGGGAAGAAAATAAAGAGCACAGGGCATTGGTGGCACAAGAAGAGCACCCACAAAAAGGAACGAAGATGAAGAGCGCGGCTAGTCGCGCGGGCGGGAGCGGGGTGGTGTTCGGAGTGGGTCTGGAGGAGGTCATGCAGCGACCGGGCGAGAGCTCCATCCCGTCGGTGCTCAAGCAGATGGTCGCCTACCTCTCCGAACTCGGTGCCCCCCCCACACCAGCCAAGAAAATGCTTACAATTTAAATAATAACAACAATAATATACTATTAATACTTCTAAATAACGAAATAATAACTGATTTTAACGAACTGGCTGCTGGCTGCTGGGCCTTTTGGGGTGGTGCGTGCAGGGTTGAGCGAACCGCTGTTCAGGCAGCCAGCCAACACCAAGGAGCTCCAGGACCTCCGCTACAACCTCAACAAAGGTCGCCACACGCGCGCGCGTGATGAACAACTCCACGTGTGTGTCAGCCAGCTCACACGCGACACAACGCGAAACACGACACGACACACGACACACACGACACACACGACACACACGACACAACGCGACACATACGACACACGATAGGTGGGCGGGTGGACTACGAGGCCAAGCCCAGGCCGGAGCTGGTGGCGGGCCTCTTCAAACTCTACCTGCGCGAGCTGCCGGAGCCCCTCCTCACCTTCCCCCTCTACTCCGCCTTCCTCGCCGCCTCCGGTCCGTGCCTCCGCCTCGTCGTCGCGTTCATGTCGACGGCACTTGTGATGATGGTGCTGATGACGCTGACAATGATGATGACGCTTTGCAGAGGAGAGCGACGAGAAGAAGCGAACGGCGCTGTTGAGTGAGCTGATGGGGCAGCTGCCCAAGCCCAACCGTCTCCTCGTGGAGCTCATCATCAAGTTCCTCGCCCGGTAATTACCTCATTACCTCATAGGCTCGCAAGCTGCTCCTGGGCGTGTGAATCAATTCCTTTTTGACGGTTGGGTGTGTGCGCACGCGCAGGTTGTGTCTGCACGTAGACGCCAACCACGTGAGCCCGATCTTCCTGGCCCACATCTTCACCCACATCTTCCTGCGGTGCGCGCTCTCCTCTTTTACGGCCTTTCTCTCGGGGTGGTGGCTGGTGGTGGCTGGTGGTGTGGGAGAGGGTACTTCCCAAGACTCAAACGTGTGTGGGCGGTCGTACGTACGCGTGGGCACTGCGTGCAGGCCCAAGTTCGAGACCATCGAGACGATGGTGCAGCTGCCCAAGGCCATCAACCTCATGCAGCTCCTCATCGAGACCGACCCCGAACTCCTGTTCCCCGTACGTTGTTTACCCACTCGCCCTCTCAGTCCGCTCTTTTGCGCTCATTGACTGACACGCACGCACGCAGCGAGTAGCTCCGCCAACAGCGGCGCAAACACTTTCGGCCTCGTCGGGGACCACCACGACTACCGCGAGCCGCACCGCCGCCGCCGCGCCAAACTCGCCTCCCGTGAGCCGCCCGGTCGGCTCGCCGCGCACGACCGACGGCGGTGAGGGCGCTCAGTCCGGGCTTCGCTCGGGCGCGTCGGCGGCCAAGTCACCGCGCGCGGACAAGTCCGCAGCCTCGGCCGCGTCCCCGCGGGAGGTGCTTTCGCCCACGCTCGCGCCGCCGGCTCGCCCCCAATCGCCCACAGTCGCCCCGGCCTCTCTGCAGTCCTCGTCGCCCGAGCCGGTCGCCCCGGCCTCCGCCCTCTCCCCGCGCCTGGCCGCCCTCGCCTCGCCCCGTTCCGCCGTCTCCTCGCCCCGCGAGGGCATCGACTCGTCTTCCCCGGCCTCTCCAGGTAACTAACTTTCTTCGTTACTCTTTCCGTAAAGCGATATCTCATTCGTTCTTTGATTTGTTGCGGGGGGGGGGCGCAAACAGAGATCGACAACAAGGTGGCGCACCTGAAGGCGACGGTCCAGGAGGCCCTGCAGACCCTGCGCAAGGACCTGGACGAGCTGGAGGAGGACCTCATGAACGCCACCTCCGCCGACAAGGTCATCGACATCGCCCGCCTGGTCCGCGCCACCAAGAAAGCCCTCGACGGGCGCGAAAGCGATTCCTAGGCCAGACAGAGAGCAGCGCCAGCTCGCCACGGCCGTATATGTGTAAGATCTCTCTCTCTCTTCTCTTTTTATCTACATCACTTTGCAAGCTGGGTTCCAGTGGTTGTACGTCGTTCTATCACTGCGTGGGTTCTTGGGCGTCCGCCTCGCCTGTGCCCTCCGAGCCGCTGCGCTGTCGAGCTGGTTCGGCCTTATTTCCTTCCTCCTCCTTCAGCTCCTCCTTCAGTTCGTGATATCCCTTCGGCGCGTGGAAAGAGGTGGCCTTCGGCAACTCCTCAGCCTTGGCCTTGCCTTTCCCTCGGGCCGAAGCGGCCCTCAGCTCCCGGTAGCGCAGGTAGTCGTCGAACATGGCCAGCACTGTGCTCAACACGTCATCGAGCACGCCGCCCACGTTGCCCACCTTGGCCAGGCCCTCGACGCCTGCAAGACCGAGACGAAGCCCAAGAGCGAGCAGGCCGTCGAGCATTCCCCGATAGTTGAACAGCGAGTCGATGGCGGCAAGGCTCGCAAGGAATGCCCCGACGAGAGCGCCGAGCACCACTCCCACGATGGGCTTGAGCACCAACACGGCGAGGAGGGAAGCCATCGACAGCACGAGGCCGACGTAGTCAGTCAGGGAGCCGCGAAAGCCTGTCAGTCCCGAGGCGACAGCTTTATGCCAGACCGTGAACCACTCCTAAGACAGGGGCAGGGTGCCAATGTCAACGTCACATAAAGAAGAGAAAGGAAGAATTACAAAGAGGTGCATACCATTACTGGGTGTAGCAGTTTGAGGGCGTGGGTGCCGAAGAGTAGCGTGAGCCCATGAAGCAGGAAATGGGAGGTGTTTTTGAACACCCTCGCTACCAAGAGTTGCACTCGGTCACGAAAGGAGGTGCGGTAGTCCTGCACGGTTGTTCCTGCCGTGGTGCAGATCTTGCTTAGACCACGCAGTAGCTCGGTGATCACCATAAGCAGCCAACAGAACGTCTGATATCTGCAGGCTCGTTAGTAGTTGCAACTTTGGGTGGAGGGCGCGTACTAACCTCGCCAGGAAGCTGATGTAAGCGGTAACGGCCCTCTTCATCAGTTTGCTTTCCTCCATCTTCTGCCGTCAAGAGGCCGTTTCCTTTTATGGAGCACAGAAAATGCATTTCTCGGCCAGTTTCCCAACAGTTAAGGTGGCTGGTGATTCGAGGAAGTTGGCGGAGGCCAGAGGCGCGATTTTGCGGCTCCATCAGCGCACAGCTCCGTCATCATTCAACAAACATCATGTCCAAGAGTCCCTTCCAAGGTTTGGTGAAGGCCAATCTGCCCGGCATGGGCGGCAAGGGCCTGAAGACTGCGATGTCACTCGCGGTTGTTGGTGTGGGCGCCTCAGCAGTCGCCTACAACTCCCTCTTCACAGGTTAACATCTTCCGCTGGCATCTTATAAGATCCATTCACATGTGTGATTTGTGTTCGCCCTCTTACGAGATTCAATTGTTTAGTGGAGGGTGGTCAGAAGGCCATCATCTTCAGCCGCTTTAGCGGTGTTCTGCCCAAGGTGTACAATGAAGGGCTGCACTTCAGGATGCCCTGGCTTCACATCCCGCACGTCTTCAACGTGCGTACGCGACCCACGAGCATCCCCTCCCTGACTGGAAGCAAAGGTAAAGTACTTCCACTACTGCAACATCCAATCGCACAATTTCCATATTTAATTTAATTCATCGCAGATTTGCAGATGGTGAACATCACGCTGCGCGTGCTGACGAAGCCCAAGTGGGAGAAGCTGCCTGAGATTTACAAGAAGCTCGGCACTGATTACGATCAGCGAGTTCTGCCTTCCATCGTGAATGAAGTCCTCAAGGGCGTCGTGGTACGTGCGAACAGATTTTCTTTCCTGATCCTCGCCTACATCTCATCCTCCCCCTCCAATCGCAGGCCCGCTTCAACGCTGCGCAGCTTATCACACAAAGAGAGCTGGTGAGCGGCATGATTCAGGACCGTCTTAGGGAGCGTGCTGCCGACTTCTTCATCGATCTCGATGATGTGTCGATCGTACGTGCCAGCGCCTACTTACGTGTTTTGCATGGCCAGACATGCCCTCTTCTCTCTTCCTCACCAACTTGCTCTCGCTCCCTTGTCTCCATGCAGACTCACCTCAGCTTCGGCCGCGAGTATACCGCTGCCATTGAGGCCAAGCAAGTCGGTGCGTGCCATCGCGCTCGCGTTAAAGTTTCGCGCGTGTTGCTTATCTCTTGTGTTGCGTGTGCGTCAACAGCCCAGCAGGAGGCGGAGCGCGCCAAGTTCATTGTGGAGAAGGCTCTGCAGGACAAGCGCAGTATCGTCATCAGGGCTGAGGGTGATGCCGAGTCGGCGCGGATGATCAGTGAGGCCGTTCAGTCGAATCCCTACTACCTCGAGCTCAAGACCATCGAAGCCGCGCGAGACATTGCTGGCTCCCTAGCCAACTCGCAGAACAAGGTGTACTTGAGCAGCGACATGCTCATGTTCAACCTTCTCAGCTCCATCAGCGGGTACGCTTGGCCACCCCCATCGACCACCTGATCATCTGCTCTGCTCTGCTCTGCTGTTGGGCCGGTGTCGGAAGTGCTCACCCTCCTTGTCCGTCCAGATCCAACACCGCTTCCAGCCTCGTGGGTTCCGTGCTGTCGGCCAAGGATGCCACCATCGCCAGGCAGTAGGCGGCTGGGAACTGAACAATAAACAAATCTTTTCTCCCATCTTCATCGTTACACGCAACCGAGAGCCGCGAGCAGTGTGCTGAGCGCGGAGAAGAGAAAATATATTTATGTAATCATTTTCAGATAAGCAGGCCACGAAGCTTTGCACGATGGCCTACAGCCCCTTTGATGTTTCATCTTTGCCCGACCTGGCAGACAACATCAACCTGGAAGAGGAGTTGGAAAAGATGAATGAAAAGATCACTGGGCTCGAAGATGTCGAATTGAATGGAAATCGGGGGACGATCGCAGGAAACGTGGAGACGTCAGACAAGCACAACGAATCCGATGCCTCTGTTCTCGATTTGAGCCTCGATTCCATCATCGAACGAGTAGAGAGCCAGCACGTCACCCTCGAGCACGCCAGCGAAGCCCCCACGCCATCAACGGGGACGCAGGGCAAGAAGCGAGGCCACACCGAGACCTCATCGGACCCGACAGGCGAAGGTGAGGAGATCGATGTCGATGGCGACGAGTCCGCCGAGAGAGCTGGGAAGCGACGTAGAATCGATACGGCAGGCAAAAGTGCCGAGGCCTCGCATGAAAAGGCGGCAGCTGCTGCGTCCGACGTAGCGGCCACGCTCTCGGCAGAGGAGGCCTCGACTACGTCGTCGTCATCATCAACGGCGCCAACAGCGGTGGAAGAAGAGCTCGAGCTGAGCTGGAGCTGGGGAGACGGTGTAGAGGAGGAAGAAACGGACACCAGCCTGGCCCCTCCCAAGAAGGTCAGCCCTCTGATGGGCGAGGTGCGTCTCCCCATCAAGGCCTCTTCATGGCTCACCTTGAGCTCAAGGCTCGTTGTCGATGTTCTTCGCTTCCTCGATGACTCGCTCACTTGCTCGATGCTGCTTTCGCAACCCACCAGATCGTAGTGGTGGAGGACGTGGAGCTGAAGGAGGGCGAAGAGAAGCTGGCCAAGGTGCAGTCTCCTTTCTTCTTTCTTCTTCGTTCGCTGGTCGTCGTTTGCTCTCTTTCCTCACCCCCCCAGTGTGTTCCAGGAATTGAACGGCAGCCTGAGCAGAGAGAACCCGTTCGAGCTGCCCATCATCATCCGCCAGGTAACGCGCCCTCCTCTTCCTCGTCGTCATCGCCTTCGTCGTTTTCCTTTCCATGCTCTCGTCTGCACGCCCATCACTGAACTCGAGCGTGTGGTGGAATGGATGGATGGCAGAGGCGAGTGGCCAGACTGAGGCAACGAGCCGAGGTGCACCGGCACAAGATCAAGCAAATACTGGCCAGCTGGGATGTCGCCTCGCTCAAGCGACCATGATCCAGAGGTAGGCCTGCACAGACATTTTGATCGTGATGTACCCCTGGTCGTAGGGTAATTTCGACGAAAAAGAAGGGACTCAAGACTTGAAGTTAACGCAGTTTGACGTTTGCCCGCAACACCCAACCCAACCAAACAGCAAAACAACAGCAACACCAACAACAACAACACAATGAAGGTTATTCGCAGGTCGACGGTGGGGGTGAAAGAGACTTGGGGCCGCTTCGCGGGCATCCTCAACCCAGGCCTTCACTTCTATGTCCCTTTGGTGTCGCGGGTGAGCGTCGTGCCGACGTGGACCGTCACCAAGCCCTACTCCATGGGCGTCAAGACCAGCGACAACGTGTTCTGCGACCTCTCGCTGTCGGTGGGCTATCGCGTGGCCGACGCCGAGCGCGCCTTCTACGAGATCGCCGACGCCGAGGCGCTCGTCAACGCCCAGGTCGAGGACGCCGTGCGTGGCGTGGCCCCCCGCTTTGGGCTGGACGCCCTCTTCGCGGCCAAGGACGAGATCCAGGAGCAGGTGGGCGAACGGCTCAAGGGCGCGCTGGCCCACTACGGCGTGGCCATAGACTCGGTCATGGTGACCTCCATCGACCCGGACCGCGAGGTGCGCAAGGCCATGAACGACATCAACGCCGCCGCGCGTGCGCGGATGGCGGCACTCGAAAGGGCCGAGGCCGACAAGCTGCGCGCGGTGAAGGAGGCCGAGGCCGAGGCCGAGCGCAAGCGCCTCCAGGGCGAGGGCATCGCCGCCATGCGCAAGGCCATGCTCACGGGCTACGAGGAGGGCATCACGGGCCTCGCACAGAGCCTCGGGCTGTCGCCCCACGAGGCCATGGTGGCCACCATGGTCACCCAGTACATCGACGTGCTCGAGAAGTTGGCCGCCAGCCCCAACGCCAAGACCATCCTCTACTCGGGCGACGCCGCAGGATCCGTGCGCAACCTCGGCCACCAGTTCGGCGCCCTCTTCGCCGACCAGGCCACCCCCACCACCACTACCACTGGCAACACACCCCCGGCCACTACCTCGAGCTCCACCACTCCGCTCTAGTCTCGCAGAGGCCTACCCTCATCCACCAATCAAGCAATCGCGAACAGTTTCAGTTTTATTATTATTTCAAACCCCTTGCTTGGATTCACGTTGGCGAAGGGGAAGTGGGTGGAGAACGGCGCCGCGTGCGGGGTGCGTGCGACATACGTGGCCTGGTGCGTGCGACAGACGTGGCCTACCTACTAGAACTTCTCCTTGTGCCAGACGAACTGGAGGCGAGAGCTCGAGGCGTCCTTGAGCGCCTTCTCTATGTCCGTCGCCAGCCCGTCGGGTCCACAGTAGAACACGCCCACCCCTGGTGGCCAAAGTGCACACACAAATGGCACATCAGCAACCTCGCGACCACCGTGGCTGACGGTGTAAAATAAAATAAAATAAAATAAACAAAATAAATGGTAGTAACGGGAGAGGGCGGGTACTTCTGATCTGGCGGTCCCTGAAGACGACCTTGAAGGACTTGAAGATGTCGCTCCAGTCCGGGTGGCCCCAGTATGTCCGCGACGGGAGACCCGTGATGGCGTCCACGCACTGGGTCTCGTAGAACAGCGACAGGATGTGCCACAGCGCGAATCCTCGGATGTCCGTGTGCTGTTGTGTGCGTGTCGTGTCGTGTCATGTCGCGTGTTGCGTTGCGTTGTCACCTATAAGTTTCGTTGCATAGCAACCATGAAAATGAATGTGTCACGAGCAGTACCGCGAGGGCGCCGGTGAGGTAGGTCCTGATCTTGATGATGCCCGACGCCTCGTCCATGTCCATCAGCTCTGATTACACCACCAGGCAATAATGATGAGTATCCAGCGGTGTGTGCGTGTGTGCGTGCGTGCGGTGTGTGTCGTGGTACCGGTGAGGAGATCGCTGAACCAGGAGAAGCTCTCCTGGTCGTTGACCATCCAGAAAAAGTAGGCGCGCTTGACATCGAAGCCGAAGGCCTTGCGGTCCCACTTGTACTTGATGTCCTTGAGGATGCTGATGAACGGCGTCACGCCGATACCGGCTCCGATCATAATGATCCGGTCGTAGTGGTAGAAGTCCTCGCTCGGCGCTCCCTACATTTACCCACCCACCCACACATACAGTCAGTTAACCTCACATGCGTGTCGTGTCGTGTCGTGTCGTTGGTCGTGTCGTGTCGTGTCGTGTCGTGTCGTGTCGTGTGTCGCGCGCCATACGTAGGGGCCGTCGACGTGGACGGGAAGGAAGTCGTGGGGGATGGACTGGTCCTCAAAGCGCTGGAGCGCGGAGAGCTCAAAGTTGAGTTTGTTGTACACCTTGGTCGTCCAGTCTCCAACCGCCTACACACACACACACACACAACACGACGGCGTCAGTCCATGATGTCCTGAAAATGCAAAAGGCGATCAGTTGCGAGAGATCTCGGGCGTGGTTCAAATGGTCGTACGCGAATGTGGAAGCTGATCGTGTGCTCCTCTGAATGCGGAACGCGAGCCAATAGAAATTGTTTGCAATGATCAGCAATTGATTGTGTGTCGACACATTTGATCAAGCATTAAGGTGGCGAGGTGGGTGTACCGGGAGAGCTGGTGAGGGTGAAGGGGTGGTACTGGAAGTTGGAGATGGACGGGATGCGGATGAACGCGTACTGGCCGGCGCGGTAGTCGAACTCGCGCGGCCGACGCAGCACCAGGTTGAGCACCTTGGTCGGCCAGATCTGCGCATTCACGACCCGCGTGTCTCTCCTCGCCCTGCCCAGGTGATGACGATGAGCACCACCTTAAGAAGAAGAAGAGGAACACACGCGACGGGAGTGGCGAGGCGGTACCGGACGGCGCGGCTGATGCGCTCGAAGCCGTAGAGAATGCAAGGAATGATGACAAAGCACCAGGCCATGGGGAAGTCGCCGAGCACCATCTGCATGCCGTGACCCGCGAACAGGACGTAGTACACCACGAACAGGTGGTGCGTGTACCAGAACACCTCGAACTTCTTTTGCCGAATCTGTGTTGCGTGTCGTGTTGCGTTGATGAGCAGCAATAACGCATAATGCATATTAAGAATAATAAGAATAATAAGAATAAGATAAAAATAATATAATGTAGGGAAAGCCATGGTACCTTGTAGAAGGCGGTGATGAAGATGAGGCAGAGGACAAGCCACAAAGCGATGCCGGTGAGAACGGGGACGGACTGAAGGAGCTTGCCAACGGGCGGCACTTCCTTGAAGTCGAACCACCGATACTGCACGCCCAGTGGTCGAGAGTTAGGGATGAGAACCCGCACGAGCGCGTGCGTGCGTGTGCGTACTTGGCCGCGGGCGTTGTTGAGCTCCTCGGCACTCGACGCATGCGAGATTTGGTACACGTTGAAGCCGTGCCCCACCCTGCCACACAGCGAAGCGCCGCGGTGGTCAGCACAACGAAAGAGCGAAAAGTGTGAACAAAGAAGAAAGGAAGGACGCGTACGTGTGGGCGATGGCGGAGATGAAGATGACGCAGGCGATGATCTTGTGGAATTCTATGTTGTTATCGTACGGGAACGTTCGGATGCAGTAAACCAGAACGCAGCCTATTTATTTTTATTATAGAAAAGGTGTCAGATCAGTTGTGGCAGCGTACATGTATATAAGCAGTTTCGTCATTGGGCACACGTACCAGGTGATGACGTTTCGACACACGGTCATGAGCAGCAGGAACGAGTTCCACTCCATCACCAACGCCTGACCGAGGGTCGACCAATCAGAGCGTGCGCCAAAATATAAAAAATAAAATAAAAATAAAAATAACGTGCTGTGTGGTGTGTGCGTGTGTTGCGTACGGTGGACCGAGAGACGCAGATGCTGTAGCCAAGCAGCTTGTACTGCGGGGCGTAGAACCGTTGATCTGCGCGCGTGCAGATTGCATGGATGAGAAGCGGTAGTGCAGCTTGGGTGGAGGGTGGAGAGTGTGTACAGAGGAAGTAGAAGGCGAGGAGGAAGAAGTTGAGGCCAAAGTAGACGCTGAGCCAGAACATCTGCCGCTTGTAGCGGGACATATTTTGTAACTTCTTCGTAAACCAACGACACTGTGACCAACACATAACAAACAAACAAACAAACAAACAAACATTTAATTAGTTTGCTCATGATTCGCTTCGCTCGAGAGAAAATGGAGAGAAGATGAAGAGAAGAGATCTGCGTACAGAGTGTTGCTTGCGGAGTCCCTCCTGCTTCACGAGGATGTCGTAGGCGTTCTGGTCCCAGTGCACACTCGGCTGAAGATCGGCGTTGAGAGCGTTCTCCTCGCCCTCGTCGCTCACCAGCTCGCCCTTCAGCAGCGCGCCGCCCGCTGCACGTGCGAACAACACAGCGTCAGTCGCCACAATCACGAGTGCAGCGCCATGTGTGCGTGTGCGATCATACCAACGGTGAGATTTTTGTTGCGCTCCTCGACAATGAACGTCGAATCGTGGCCCTGGAGAGCGCCAATGGCATCCAGATAGCTCGGCGCAGCGCCCATCGACGAGGTGAGCACCCCACGCCAATGCTCTGTGGGAGGGAGGAGAGATAGAAGCCGGGGAAATGGTGAGCCGGCGTCCCATAACAAATTGGCGGCGGGTGAGGAATGTTGCGAGGAATGCGCATACCGGACATGGCCTTCCACCGCTTCTCCAGGTGGTCCTCGAAGGGCGCGATGGACTTGGCGTATCCCTCGCTGTCCTCCGCATCGCCGTCGTTGATGCTGAGCTCGCGTCCGCCGGCCTCGCCCTCCGACACCTGCTTGCCCTTCTTCTTCGCCGCCTGCACCCGGCAAAAGAAAGAAGGCGAAGAAAAGCGAAAGCGAAAGCGTCAACACTCCTGAGGTAAAACGGCGAAGCGAGTGGTGTTCGGAGTTACCTTGGGCGAGCGGGCTTCGGCTTCGCCCTCGGGCTCGAGCTCGTCGTCGGAGTGAGCAAACCGGACGGCCTTCTTGCCGCCGCGCGAGGGTCCCGTGGACTGGTCCACAAAGTCGTCCAGCTCGTCGTCGCCGACGCGCATCGACACCTTGAGCGCACGTGGAGGTGCCACGCGCACCTTGGTCAGCACGGCCTCCTCGGCCTCCTCCCCGTCGAAATCCTGGCTGTTCCCCTGAATCAGCCGCAACGTCTTCTCTCGGTTCAGCTCCCTCGCGCTCACGTCCTTCTGACTCGCCAGGAACACCTGCCGCAATAATAATAATAATATAAATCATAAATGTTAGCCAACATATTCAACACTTTAATATACATATATATATACACACACACAAAACGAAACATTAAAAATGCAATGACGTACGTTAAAGTCGGTCTCCTTGGTCCAGTAGGCGTTGGACTTGGTGAGGAGGGCGACGCTGGTGGTCTTGTGGGCGGGCTGGGCGAAGGAGGAGCCCTCGTGCTGGATCTCGATCAGCCGGCGGAACTCCTTCCAGTAGAGGAACTCCTCCTCCTCGCCGGTGGGCGTCCTGGTGGTGCGCTTGCGCGTGCGCGGGCGCGACCGCGAGGAGGTGACGATGGCCACCACCTCGTCGACCACCTTCTCCGGCGGCACCTTGAGCTTGAGCCGGTTCTCCTCGAGGCCCTCCCGCATCAGGTCCAGCACCTCCGATCGCAGCAGCTTGCCATCGTCCAGCTTGTTGTACAACCGGAACATAACTACGCACGCACACCCCGAGTGAGTTTTGTGCAGAAATAAAAACTTAGAAATTATAAATTAAATAACACGAGATAAATCGCCTACTTTCCTCGAACACCATGGAAATTCATTCTTAGAATTATGTTTGCGGGGGCCACGTACAGCGGAGCTTGCGTTCGACGGTGGTGAGGGGGCAGAGGAGCGGGCACGTCTGGACGAACTCCAGCAGGGAGATTCGGCCCTCGTCGTGCACATCGAACAGCTGGAACAGTCGTGCACACAGGCCACCTCCTTTCTACATTTTTATGTCCGAGTTAATAAATACGAACAGAAAAATAAATAAATCCATGCATAAAGGGACATAATAATTATCTTTGTATTAATATAATAATAAAATAAACGGTGCCACGGAACGAAACTGAGCGCAAAGAAGACGTGGAGAACATGAATTAAATAAAAGGGGGTGTGGTGTACCTTCAAGTTGAGCAGCTCGGCGAGTTCGTCGCGGGTGACGGAGACGCCTGCGGCCCTCTCGACCCACTCGTCGCCCAGGCCCAGCTTACAACTGCCGCTGCCACCGGTAAGGGAGCGGTAGCCGGTCGACGTCTTCCTGCTGCCTCCGCCGCCACCTCCGCCGCGACTGCCTCCGCGGCCGCCCTTGGCCTTGGCCGCTGGCGACACGGCGTTGAGGTAGCGGTCGACCAGGCGTTCGCGAAAGTCGTCGACCGGTGGCGTCGCAACGCCGCCCTCGAGGTCGATGAGAGGAGCCAGCAGGCCCTCCATCGTGGGCTCCCTACGCGCACGCGCTTTCATCTGCAGATGAGATGAATTCTATGTGAGATTTATTTCCGACGGCCGTCGCAAGATTAGGAAGATGGTGACTTGGGGTTGTTGAGGTGTCTATGCGGCTTGGAGTGGTACCCTTCGTAAGTTGTGACCTTGCCAAGCCTTTCTTTTGCAGAGAAAAGAAAAGGGTGACGAGGACGACCTCTGCAGCTGGCCAAGAGTTCGCGAGGAGAAGACGAAGGAGGATCACTCCGGAGACGTGAACTGAAGACGGAGGCAAATTTGCCTCGCCCACTTACGGGCGATTGGGTCTTCCGGCTCCTGCCGGTTGGCTGGAACCTTCTAACTCCAGCTTCCAACCGAAAGCTCCCCCACAACACGCTGACTGCCCACAACCAATCATCACCACCTACCTTGCAGATCGTGCTGTACGCACGCCAGTTGCCAAAACTGCACACGCAGTACGCATTGCTATGTTTAAAAAATTGTTCTGTCCCCCCTAGGGGGGCAACTTTGGCGAAACTTGTCTTTTGTCTCTTCATTCTTTGTGTGGCTGTAACCAAGGGTTGTTGGTCGGAAAGGGTGGGGGTGTTGCGGAGGGAAGAGGTGCCATCAGGGTGCCTCGCCTTCCTTTCGCTTTCGCTTGGCGGCGGTGCTCTTCTTCTTCTCTTCCTTTTCGGTGAGCTCGTTCGTCTTCCTGATGAGCGCTAATCGCTTCTTGTGGATCTCGGACAGCCCCTGTCGCTTGCCCCGCATGTCCAAACTCTCCAGATGGTGCGAATACCTGCGAACACCAGATCGCAAGAAGAAGAGGAGTTGCAAGCAAGAAGAAGAAAAAGTGAGAAGCTGAACAATGAGGAAGACGAAGACGAAGTAGAGAGTGGAGGAAACTGTACCCGGGCAAACGCATGTCCCAGGCGCGTTCCATGTGGAGGGCGACGTCACGCACTTCCAGCACGTCCGAGCCACGATGCTTGGCCAGCACGCTGCCCGCCGAGATGAGATTCTCCAAAAAGTCATCCGCCAGCTCCAACAACACCTGGCGAACACACACACACACACACACAACACACACACGGCATGCACGTGTGTGAGCACTCAGCTACTCAGTGCACCATGCATGCCCGCTGGAGCTCCAGGACGCAAAATATACCTCTTCCACCTCGGGCTCCATGCGGTGCGACGAGGAGTGCCGCAGCAGCTCGCTCATCTTGTGTTTGCTGATCAGCTCGGTCGGTTCCGGCGCGGTGGGGGCGGTGGGCGATGGTGCCGAGGCGGCGGACGCAGTCCCTTGGCCCTGCAGGGTGGCCATGAACTGCTGCAGCCCCGTGGGCTGGGGAGGAACGGCGCCCGAAGCCCTGTACGTGCCGGCTCCGCCCGCGGGAGGCGTGGGCGTCGGGGTGTGCGGTTGGCTGTAGGGGGCAGGAGTGGTGCCGCTACTCGAGATGGAGGCGGTAGCAGATGGCGTCAGATGAGAAGCCGTGGTGGAAGCATAGGGCGGAGGTGTAGGTGTAGAAGGTGTCACACCCGATGACGATGAGGTGGAGGTGAGCGAAGATGAAGCGCCAGATGAGATCTGAGGAGCAGATGAAGAGGAGCCGGCCTGGTGCAATTGCATGAGGGCGGCCGGCAGCGACATCGGGGAGGCGAATGTAGATGACGAAGATGTAGCAGAAGTAGCAGACATTTGCGAAGGGGTGGTGGAAGAAGAGGATAGAGAGGTAGCGGTGGGAAGCGATGAATGGTTCATTGGGGTAGAGGGGGCAGATGCAGATGGAAGACCACTGCCGACTCCCGCTGACGATTGGGATGGAGGGGGGTATGAATTCGGCGGTCGCAGGCCTTGCGGAGCAGTGGAGGGGGCTCCAGCGCCTGTATGTTGTTGCATTTCTGTCTGCCACGAATGCCGATTTGATAAATTCTGTTATTTTGGTCTAATTATGTATTGTTCAATCATGGTGGTCGGTTCGAGTCCGGTCCCAGGTTGAAAGAAAAAGAACACGAGGCGAAGCGCCATAACGGCCTAGTTGAACCACGTGGAAGAGATCTCATTGTACTACCAACCTCAGCCTCCTTAGCAGCCTCTCGTAAGATTTTGAGCGACTCAGACTCCCCAGTCCACCGCTTTCAATGCAAGGCAAGAGACGCCAGTTTGCGTGAATTGGTTGTTTTTTTGTGGGGGGCTCATCTTTGGCTGTTCTTTCATGCTGATTCCTATCTTTCCTGAACAGTGGGACTTGAAGAAAGAGAGCTGTTGCCGTTTCTGCTGCAGGCGCGAGGTGTTGATGAAAGGCGCCGCGACGATCCAGCCTTCTACACCAAACAGCGCCCACCCACTGCTGCTCCTGGTATGCTCCTCCTCTCTTCCTCAATGGCCTACGCGTAGCGCCTTCTCCAGTTGCCCTCCTTCGCATTGCGCTTTGCGCTACGTCCTGGCCTCGCCAACACTGCGGTTCTATCTGTGGCCCCTTCAGGAGCGGCTGGCGGCCTGGCCGGCGTCGAGCATGGACCCGAGGAGTGGGCCATGACCGACTGGGCCACCTATGCCCGCGCGGTCAACCAGGCCGCTCGCGCCCTCATCGCCCTCCTTCCCTCCTCGGCTGAGGAGGAGCGCCCCTCGCTTCGCGTGGCCCTCTTCGCCAAGGCCTCCGCCGTACGATCGCTCTACTACTTCTCTTCGTGGTCGTGGTTAAGGCCTGTGCTGACGTGTACGACAGGAATACCTGGTGTTGCACATGGCGTGCCTCACCGCCGGTGTGGTGCCGGTCGCGCTGCCGGCGGCCTCTTCGGCCGACCAGCTGAGCACGATCCTCGAGCAGGCCGAGGTGCGCTACGTGTTCGTCGATGACCCGCACCAGCTGCGCAAGCTACGCGGTGAGCAGACCCTCGGCCGACTCGAGGCCATATTCTACCTCGAACGCAACGACAACGACAGCAACGTCACAGACGACGACTCGTCGAAGGGTGGGCGCAAGAAACAAATTAGCGATGGCGACGATGATGGCTACGTCGACGACGAAGAGACCAAACGAGCTCGTGAGAGCAAGATCATCAGTTGGCGCGATTTCCTGCGGCGAGGCAGCCGGGTGACGCAGGCCGCGCTCGATCAACAGATGCAACAGTTGCAAAGCGATCAGCTGGCCTCCGTCGTCTACGCCTCCACGTCCGATCACACTACGTGCGTGCACACACGCACACACGCACACGCACACGCACACACACGCACGCACACACACACACAACGATGCAGGTGCGCTGACGTGCTTGAACAAGTTCACACACACGTCAGTCTACTCATGCGCAAAGGTGGTCGCTCCTCCTGGTCTGTGCAGTGGCGGACGGCCCAGGGGCATGATGTACTCGCACAGCAACCTGCTGTGGACGGCCAGGAAATGCGCCGAGGCCATGCGGTTGGATGACGGCGACATCTCCTTCTCCTTCCTGCCCATCTCGCACATCACCGAGCAGCTCCTCTCCATCTACTGCCACGTGCTCGTCGGCCACCGAGGTACGCCCTGGCTTGAGCTTCAACACGCGACACACGCGACACACGCATCATACGTGCGGTGATCCTGATCGCGCGTGGCTACACCCCGCAGTGTTCCTGAACGGGGAAAGGAGTCGGTCGAAGCTGGTGAGCGACATACGGAGCGTGCAACCGACGCACCTCGCCGCGCCGGCCTCGTTCTGGAAGGCCCTTCATGGATGGCTCCACGAACAGCTGGCGCGCGAGGTGCGCCTGCCGCCCGCCATCCTCCGCGCCATGCCCGCCAAGAAGAACAACAAAAAGAAGATGAAGCAAGAGATCAGCGACGACGACGAAGATAAGGAAAGCGAAGACGAAGATGACGACGTCAAGCCGGGTTCGTGGAAGAGGTCTCACGACAAGGACAAGCCATGGGCGCCGACGCGGGCGGGCTCGGTCAAGATCGGGAGCCGCGGCGGAGACTCATCGCCGGAGAAGGTGAAGCTCAGCCTGAAAGCGGTGCAGACCAACCCGCTGCTGCTCAACCTGTTCCGACAGCGCATGGGCCTCGCGCGGCTGCGCGTGGGCTACTCGGGCTTCGCGCCGCTGCCGGCCAAGGTCATGGCCTGCTTCGGCAAGCTCGGCGTCACTGTCTGCGAGCTCTACGCCCACCCCTACGCCACGGGCCTCGTCGCCTGCAATCGCCCGCCACCGCTGACCGACGCCTCCACCGCTGCCACGAAGCCGGAAAAGAGCGAAAGCGAAGACAGCGATAGCGAAGAAGAAAGCGAAGACGAAGAGGCCGAGCAGACCAACAAGCCGGGCACTGTGGGTGCGGTGCTCGCCGGCGCCGAGGTCGAGCTGGACGAGGGCAGCGTGCCCCAGGGTAAGAGTCCTCCTTCTCACCGCTCAGTCCAAGTGCAGTGACTGACTGGGCGCAATTCAGACGACGAATCCAATCACGGCGAGGTCCTGGTCAAAGGCCCCAACGTCTTCATGGGCTTCCTCAACGTACGCCCCTGACAGAGACGCGACACGACACGACACGACACATCTCATCGCCTTCCGTGCGTGCGCACACAGGAGGCCGAGGCGACGGCGGCGGTGTTTGCGAGGGAGGGGTGGGTGCGCACGGGCGACGTGGGCGTGCTCGACGAGGACGAGTTCGTGAAGCTGAAAGGGCGGCGGGAGGACCTATTCCGGCTCCAGGGCGGAGAGCTCGTGTGCCCGTGGAAGGCCGAGAAGCTCCTCAAGGCCTCCCCGCTCATCGAGGACGCCCTCGTGCTGGGCGACAGCCGCGGACACGTGGCCGCCCTCCTCGTCCTCTCCTCCCTCTCGCGCGCCCTCTCCCAGCAGGACCGCATGGCCGGTACGCACACGACGACGACACACACACACACAACACACAAATCAAACGCTTACACTTTTTCGTGTGCGCACAGATCTGAAGGAGGCGGTGACCAGCGCCAACGGGAAGCTGGAGGAGGCGTTCATGATCAAGAAGATCGCCACCATCAGCCCCAGCACCAAGCTGGCCCACAACCCGCAATGCACCACCCCGCTCGGGCGGTACGAGCGTTTCCCCTCTCGGCGCATGTTGTGCGTCGCGAAGGCGGTCACTCACGCGTGCGCTCGCCCGCACACGACAGGGTGGTGCGCGGGGCATTGACGAGCTGCTTCCCGCGGGAGCTGAGCGCGCTCTACCCCGACGACGCGGGCCTCGCCGAGCTGGCCACCGCGCGCCAGGCCGTCGACCAGGCCGCGGAAGGCGCGGCGGAGGCGGCCAGGCCAAGCGCAAAGGCTGCGGGAGACTCGGCCTCGCTATCCTCCTCCGATGACGAAAGCGATGGCGAAAGCGATGGCGAAAGCGAAAGCGAAAAAGACGAAAAAGACGAAAGCAGCCAGAGTGAAAGCGAAAGCGAGAGCGAGAGCGAGTCGGAGAAGGACGAGAAACAGGAGGACGACGGCAAACAGGACAACGACGACGATGACGATGACGAGGAGGAACAAGAAGTGGAGGAACCGGAGGTCAGGAGCGGGGTGGCGGGCGAGGTCGAGGAGGAGCACGTCGTCCTGAAGCCGGCTCCGGCCACCGTCGATGATGAAAGCGAAAAAGACGACAAAGACGAGAGCGGCCAGAGCGAAAGCGAAAGCGAAAGCGAGAGCGAGTCGGAGAAGGAAGACGAGAAACAGGAGGACAACGGCGACGATGGCGAAGCGAAACAAAAAGCGGATAAACTGGAGGTCAGGAGCGGGATGGCGAGTGAGGTCGAGGAGGAGCACGTCGTCACGAAGCCGGCTCCGGCCGCCGCCGTCGGTGACGGTGACCACGAGGGCGAAGAGGCCGTGGAGCAGAAGCAGCCCGAGGCTGCCCAGGAGCAGATCAGCCACAAGCCGCCGCGAGCCGACAGATCGGAGGACCTGCCGGCGACGGATGAGTCAGTCGCCCCGAGCTCCGGTGGGGAGTGGATGAAGGGCCAGGAGGCTGCACCGGCCGGTGGCGCCCAGCGGGGCTTCATCGGCACCGCCCGCGCGCCCTCTGCTGACGTCAGCAGCGCACTGTCGAGCAAGGAGAAGGAGGCGCCGGTCCGCAGCGACGACGACGACGAGGTGCCCGAGGAGCGGAAGGAGAAGCGGGAAATGAAGGAGGCCGAGGAGGAGATCGTTGCCGGCGGCCACCGGCCGGTGCCGAAGCAGCCGCTGCGGCTGGAGGACCTGTCAGAGGGCGTCATGGTGTACCTCTTCTCCTTCCTGGCCCCCGCCGACCTCGGCCCCGTCGCCCTCGCCTGCCGCCGATTCAAATCTGTACGCGCGCCCTCTCCCGCACGCGCGTGGTCACTGTTTGTCTCACTGTCGTGTGTGCTCTGTGCGTGCTCGCGTGGGCACAGGCGCTCGATGATGAGGTCCTGTGGAAGCTGCTGCTGCAGCGCACCTACGGCACCGGCGGCCTGCTCGTCTCCCAATTCATCCCCGTCGTGCACCCAGGTGGCGCCACGTCATCCACTCTTCGCCGCTTGTTGTGTCGTGTGTGTCGTGTGTGTCGCGTGTCGTGTCATTGACTAACAGCACACACCGGCGTGTGTTTGACGCAAACCCAGGAGTGCAAGAGCCGAAGGGCGAGAGCGGCAAGAGGGAGGAGAAGGGCGGCCTGAAGGCGGTGGACTGGCGGAACACGTTCATCAACCGGGACAAGCTCTGGAAGGCCCACGCCCACGAGGACACCGTCGAGCGGCTCGCCCTCTGCGCCAAGTGGGGCGCCGTCCCGCTCCTTCGGCAGCTCCTGCTCGACGCCCGGACTCAACACGCCGCCGCCGCCGCCGCCGGCATCGGCGACGACAATGACGACGCGTGGGTGCGTGACGTCATCAACCGGAAGACGCGGCTCGGCGGCAAAACGGTGCTGCACTGGGCGTGCGAGTACGGCAACGCGGGCGTGGTGGAGCACCTGGTGACGGCCTACGGCCGGCGCGGGCTCGACCTCAACAGCCGCGCCGACATCGCGGCCGTGGGCCTGTGGCCCGTGGTGCGGGTGGCCGGTGGCGTCACCGCCGGGCGTCGCAAGGCGCCCCATGTGCCCCTCTCCCTGGCCAGCGAGAGCGGCCACCTCTCCGTCGTGCAGCTCCTCTTGGAACAAGAGGACGTAAGGTCCATCTTCCTACAGCTTCTACATCCCCATTTGACGATGATTGTCTTTATATTTTTTGAGTGTGCATGGGGTGCTCACCGCTGTGTGTCGTGGTGTGTGCGGTGAGCAGGACTAGGTGCGATGTGCAGATGACGCTGCAGTGCTTGATCGCCGCCGTGGAGAAGGAGCGGGAGGCGGTGGTCAGGTTCTTCCTGGACAGGCTGCAGCGGATCATCGACAACGGTGGCGGCAGCAGCGGAGGAGAAGGAGAAAGAGCGACGCATAATAAGGAGGAGAGCGGTGACGATGAAGAGGAAGAGGTGTTCCGGGCCAAGCTATGGGCTCTGGAGCTGGCCTGCGAGCGCGGCAACGCTCGGATCGTGGACGACATCATCGCCAGCGGCGGCATCCACCTCGGCTTCGCGCTCGGCAACGGCGATGACAAGGAAAACGACGACGACGACGACGCAACGGCGAGGAGCGGGGCCGAGCGGGGCGGGCACCACTATCACGACACGGTGGCGAGGCGCTTCCGCGGGCTGTTCCGCGCGTGCGAGAAGGGCTCGCTCAAGATCGTCACGGCCCTCCTCAACCGCGGCCTGCCTGTAAATATGCGAGAAATGCCCGCCGTCGGTGACACGGGCGCCGACGCCGACGATGCTGACGTCAGCAAGAGCAACAACGGCGGCGGCGACGACGACTGGTGGACGGCGCTGCACTACGCGGCCAAGCGGGGCGACCTGGCGCTGGTGCAGAAGCTGGTCGGGCGGGGCGCCGATCCGTCGCTGCGGGCGCGCTTCGACGGCGGGCGGGCGACGCCGCTGGACGTGGCGGTGGCGATGGACCGGGACGAGGGCGTCGTGGCCTACCTGCGCAACATCACCCCGCGCAGCTCCCTCCTGCAGCGCCCCGAGGTCGTGCTCACGGCCGCGGGCGGCTTCCTCGTCGTCGCGGTCGCCTACCTCCTCTCCCGCCTCGGCGCCTTCATCTTCTCGTGAGCCTGACCAGGCAAGGTCGGCTAATAATAATACAATATTAATTACGGTTTGTGTGATCGTCGTTGTGCACCAGTAACGACGCTTTTCTTTGCGCCAAGGTTGGTTCGACGCGTCCACTGAGACACGACTCGGCGAAGTTGATGCTCATGCCGCGGCGCGCACGCCGCCATCAGCGAAGAGAAAAAGAAAAAGAAACACAAAATGGAAGGTGGTGCGTGCAGCAGCACGAGAGCACCACCACCAGCAGCAGAGTGCTTTGTGGACGCCACGGGTGCACGCGTTGCCGGCGTGCAGCCACTGCCAGGTACCCTACTCGCACACCAGTTGGGAGGGGGTAGCATACTCATTGCAACATGGGGTGCACCTTGTCGCGTCAGACGGTGGGTATCGGTTGTTTAGCACGACTGCCCCAAGCGAAACCAAGTGGAGGGACGTGCCAAACCAGGCAGCCCGCACGCGTGATGACACTCATCCACGGTACCACCCTTGCAAGGCAAGTCACTTTCGAGAGTTTATTTATAAATCTATTAATTTTTATTATAAGGCTGGAGGTGAGAAGCGGAGCGGTCATGTTCGACGGGTTGTACGCCATGGCCATGGACGACCTGCGGCAGTGCGCCGTGGAGGACATCCGTGACGCGGCGTTCAACGCCGGCCAGCCCCTCCACGTCGACCCCGTCTACGAGACAGGTGCCCACACTGTCGTGTTTCGCAGGCTGCACCTGTTCGCTCGCGAGGGATCGCAACTCACCAGGCTTGGTCACCGGAATCGTTTCAGGCGAGAATTGGCCGTACGTGTGGACTCGCGACACGGCCTACGCGGCGCTGCTGTCCCTGGCCGCCGTCGACCCCCAGCGTACCGTCAACTCGCTCCTGTTCAAAACGGCCCGTCTCAAGCCAGCCGCCGCCGCCGACCACTCGGCTGCCGAGCTCCACATCGTGCAGGACACCGGGTACTACTGTTACTAGGGCCAGGCCGTTGGCCCTGCACTGTCTCACGATTGGCTGCGGGTTTTGGCCATCGCTTCCGATAGGACGGGCGGAAGCTATCCGGTGTCGAGCGACCGGGTGACGTGGGCACTGGGCGCGGGCGAGGCGCTCAAGTACCTCCACGGCGAAGCCAGGGAGCGCTTCGCCGCTGTGGCCCGCGCCGCCATCACCCACACCATCGAGATCGACCGCACCATCGTCTACGACGACCAAGACGGCCTCTACAGGTTTGAGATCTCACTCACCACACCGTTTGTGTGGCGTGCAGCTGACATGTGTCGTGTCGTGTCGTGGTTTGGTTGGCGGGCAAGAGGGGAGACGTCGTTCCTGGATTGGCGCGAGCAGACCTATCCGGTGTGGGTCAAGAGTGACCTGGCGCACATCGCCGGCTCCAAGGCGCTGTCCACCAACGTGGCCCACTACGCCTGCATCTCGCTGGCCGCCTCGCTGGAGCGGCAGCACCAGGACCAGGCCGCAGCCACCAAATACGAACAAGTGCCCGGACCCACTCACTACGTGCCCTCGTGTGCGCTTTCTCACCCACCGTGTGGCCTGTGGCGTGTGTGCAGTGGGCGAAGTCGCTGCGCCAGGCCATCATCGCCACGTTTTACGTGGACTTGGGCGACGGTCGGGGCATGTACGCCGCCACGAAGGGTCCGCTCACCCACCCTTCCATCCTACGCCACTACGGTACCCCCCCTCGCCTGGCCAGCCGGCAAACCATTCATACAATGAGTTGGAGCTGACGTCAGCCATGTTGAGCAGACCTGCTGGGTTCGGCGTTGGCCGTGCTGGTGATGGATGCCGGCGACGACGCCGACGAGGCCAGCCGTCGCCGAGCCGAGGCCGTGGTGGCGACCTATCCCCACGCGCCCCGGGGGCCTCCGGTGATCCACCCGCAGCATCCGGGCGTGCCGATCTATCACAACAGCGCCATCTGGCCCTTCGTCACAGGTCAGTACCACACTCGCCCTCTCAGCAGCCCAGCTCGCCATAACTCACATCGCCATCATTTCTTGCATGTTTGGGTTTGGTTTTGCGTTTGCGTTTGGGACAAGTAAGCGTTGTGGGTGCGGGCAGCGGTGCGGGTGGCAAATTGGAAGGTGGTGGATCACGGGGTGTGGTCGCTCATGCGCGCGTCGGCGCTCCACCTGTCCAACATGGAGAACCTGGAATTCCTCTCCGGCGAGACCTTTGTCGACGCCGGCCCGCTCTCGGGACCAGTCGTCAACTCCAGGTACCGCACGCACACGCACACAACCGCACACAACCGCACACGTTGATGATAAACCCTCCGCTTTACATGTGTCAGACGCCAGTTGTGGTCGGTGGCGGGCTACCTCGCCATGGTGCACGACGTGGCGTTTGGACTACAGACCCGCGATGACAGCGCCACCGGTACTTTGGATCGATGAAATAATGTGCTCGCGTTGGTGTGCGCGTGTGCGTGTGCCGTTGTTGATTATTTTGTGGGACAAAGGCGGCGCCGGCATTCGGTTCGAGCCCTTCGTAACGCGATGGCTGCGCGAGTCGCTGCTGGGCCACTCGCACGAGGTCGTGCTGGACTCCTTTGCGTACCGCGGCAAGCAGCTGCGCGTGCGAATCACCCTGCCCGGCGACCAGGTCGCCGCGCCAGCGCCACCCACCATCACCGACGCCTCGGTGGCCGTACCCGGGGAAGCGTCAGTTCTCGTGCGCGAGGGCGCCGACGGCAGCCCGGAGCTGCGGGCGACGATGACCGGCGTCGTGCGCCCCTACCGTGTGGCACGTGTCACAGTCAACGGCCGGGTGATTGCCCCGAGCGCGTGGCTCGGCGAAGCCGACTTGCTGCCGCCGCAGCACACCAACGAGTGGGAGATCGCGCTGGAGGCCGACGGGGATGACCGGCTCGAGGCCCGGGTGGTCGAGATGAACTTGCTGGGCGGCGAGCGGGAGGCCCACTACGCGCCCAGAGAGCCGACCATCTCCACCACTCCCACGGGGCCTGACGGAAGTGTGCGGCTGCGCGTGGAAAAGGCCGCAGATGACGCTGACCGTAAGTTGCACATCCCACACAAAAATAGGAAGCTGCTAACTCGTTCTTGAGTGTGTGTGTGCGTGTGTGTGTGTGTGTGTGTCGCCCGTGTCGTGTGCCAGGCGTGTTGTTCGACGTGTACCGCGACGGTGCGTTGTATGCCGAGAGAGTGGGATCGGACTGGGCGGAGGACCTCCCGCGTGACCGCGCCCACAGCTACTCGGCGCAAGCGGTACAACCAACCAAGCCACCTCTCGCCAGTGTACACGAGAACGAGGGCTGACACACACTCTTGGTTCGTGGCGGCCCAGGTGAACCCAAAGTCGGGGCTGACGTCTCGCCACTCGCGGGCCTTATGGCTCCCATCATCATCGCGAGATGACCCGCACGGCGTCGGCGACGAGCTGGTGGTGGAGGCGCGGGACATGCGCAGCAACGGCGGCATGCTCAAGATCGGCGCCAGTGGCGCGCAGCCTTCCACCACCGACAATGAAGAAGCGGCCGTGACAAGCTACTACTGCTTCTGGGGCGACCTACACCACTGGCTCACGGTACTCACGCGACCTTCTTCATTCTTCTTTCGTTTTTCGTTCTTCTTCGTTCTTTTGTCGACTCGAGCGTAACCCGTGGCCAGACGGACGACGTGCGCCCGGCGCGGAGCGGTGCCTACGCGGTGCAGGTGCTCTACAGCAACGGGGCGGGCACTCGCAGCACGGGGATCGCGTGTGCGCTCAAGTGGCTCGTGGTGGACCGCATCTCTGGGACTGACCACCACGAGGGCGAGCGCACGCAAGAGAGGCGGCGGGTGGTGGTCATGCCTCAGAACAGCGAGTACCGGTGGGACGACGTGTGGAACTGGTCGACCCCGGTCGGAGTCCACCTGCGCGAGGGCTGCCGCTACGCAATCACCCTGTGCAGCGATGATGACGACGTTGAGGGGACGCGGCTGATGAACATGAGCTACCTCGACCACTTCACGTCGTACACGAACAACGGCCGCATGCTGGGCGGAGGGGACGGCCTGGCCAACTTTGTCAACATCGCACGCATCCGCCTGCGCAGTTTTTAAGACTGGCCAAAAAAGGACCTTGTTTTCTTTTGCCGCTTTATTTTCCCCACCTCTAGAGCCTATGGTTGGCAGTATCGGCCACGACGATGTTGCCCGAAGTTGAGTCCGCCGCCACGCCCCGGGGTTTGTAGAACTGTCCCGGGAAGTTACCTACGGAGCCGAGTGTGCCGATGCGCAAGCCTGCGCGCCACACCTGGACCAGGCTGGCCCCGGAGCCGCGCCTGCTGTCGCTGGTCACGACCATGTTGCAGGCCCTGCAGTTTCCAGACACGGCAAGCCACAAAGAGTCAAGTAAGTGCTCTCCCCCCCCACACTCATGCAAGCAAATGATGCTGTACCGGCTGCCGGGGCCGAGAACGCTGACACGCCGATCGGGGCCGTGAAGGCTGCGAAGTTGAAGCTGGGTGCCGGGGCTGCAAAGCCGAAGCCGGGCTCTGCTGAAGCCAGTGGGGTGGTCCCACCGGCAGTCGAGGCTCCGAAGCTGAAGCTGGGCGCTGTCGAGGCTCCGAAGCTGAAGCTGGGCGCTGCCGAGGCTCCAAAGCTCGAGCTGGATGCAGAGTAAGAATTCAAGTCAAAGGGTGAAAGTAAGGCAGTGTTCGTACAGGCTACCAGCATCGGATGATGATTTTTTCCTCGTTTTCAGAGCCTTCACTTGCTTCTTGAGCGCCGCGATCTCACCCTGTTGCTGCCTCAGTGTAGTCTGCTGCTCCTCGATTGAGCGCGAGAGCTGCTGCATCGCGTCGCGCTGGCGCTGGAGGATGGTGCGGAGGACCACCACAACGCACTTGTCCTCGTGTTCCTGCATGGCCCCACGCACGCACGCAAACTCGCATCCGACGTCGGCAGCGCGACACGCCACCACCTTGGCGGTGCACTCGACGGTCTCGTGGTTCTCTCTGTTGACTGGCGCCACGCGACTGCCACAACCGAGATCACACGCTGCACTCATGCACGCACCCATCGAAGCCGATGAACAAAGAAGCGCGAAATGCGAAGAGAGGGATGAATGTACGAATGGGGCAGGCGGCTACGTGTTCGTGCAGTGACTTGCGCGCGCATGAACCGCCACACGAGGGGCACACGACGCGCAGGTCGTCGAGCATGTTCGTCACAAAGCGTGGCGGTACGGTGACACATGACATGGCCGTTAGCTGGCGGCATTGAGGGCACAACCGGTGCTCAGCAGACGAGGAGGAGCGTTGGAGCCAGGTGGCGAGGCACCCACGGCAAAACATCTGGCGGCATTGGGGCTCGACCACGGGGTCCACCAACGGGTCCTGGCAGATGGAGCACACCAACTCGCGGTTGTGCTCCTCATTTTCGTACACAAATCCCTACAGAACAATAAATAATCAATTAGCAAAAGGCATAAAGAGTGAGGACTGTACATGTACTCGTAGTGCTGGCGAGGTAGTGGACAA